AACAACAACAACAACAACCACGTTTTTAAAGTCCCTGAGTGGTGCAAATGTTTGCTACAGTTGGCTGCTAATGGAAAGGCTAGAGGTTCAAATCTACACAAAGACACATTGGAAGAAAGCCCTGTAAATCTATTTTGGGGAAATCTGCCATTGAAAGCTCAATGGAGCCCAGGACTACTGTGCCACAGAGTCACTTTGAATCGGAATTGACTTGATAGCACATGAAAGCAACTAGAACCTTGTTTGAGTAGGAAAGAAAATTAGACTCCGAGAATGCTCAGAAAGCTTCTAACTGTAGAACTCTGAACTCACCATTTTCTTGTGCCTTGCTTTCTCTAGAATAATAAGCTCAACTATTTTTTTTTTAAATCCTCTTTAAAAAAAAACAACCATGTTCCCAATTTTGTTGTAGAAACATTGAAGATACAGACCAGTGTGAAAAGAAAAATCAAAGTCATTTGTAATTATCACTGTCCAGACATAACTTTAGATGTTTTGTCTTTCTCCTTTGAATCTTTGTGTATGTATATAAGGGGGCTTCAAAAAGTTCACAGAAAGGTTCCATAATTGTTTTATTCCATTTTTGTATGAACTTTTAATTTTGAAAACCCAAGACCAAACCTAACCCACTGCCATCAAATTGATTCCAACGCATAGCCAGCCTATCCTAGGGCTGCTGAGGCTCTAAGTCTTTATGAGCGAAAACACCTCATCTTTCTCCCGCGGAGCAGCTGGTGGTTTGAACTGCCAACCTTAGCAGCCCAATGCCTATCCTGCAGCATGTGTGTTCATGTCATATCTTAGGTACCGTTTCATATCTTGCTTTTGTTACGTACCTTATTTTGACTATCTTCCATACTGTAAATGTAAAAAGAAATCTGTATTTTCTATGTCTGTGAATTATTTTATTGTTTGGCTCTGTCATAATTTGTCTAACCAGCCCTTTTGGGGAATATTTATGTGGTGTTCTCCAGGCTTTATCATTTTTAATTGAGGAAGAATAAACCAAACTAAATCAAAACAAAACAAAAACCTTCTTTGGCCTGAAAGAGAGGCAGCCAGAGGCAATAAAATTTTATTTGGATTTTTAGAGAATTTATGTTAATGGGCAAAGTATTCCATCTTGTTGCTGGAAACAAGTTATATATATATATATAATTTTAGCACAGCATGAATAGTCATAGGTTTAATGAATGGCAATCAGTGGAACCAGATGGGGAAAATGCAGGTTAATAGGCTTTAATGCTTTCCTGTAGGGCTGGATGTGGAGATACTTGACCTGTGAAGACCTAATTGCTCAGCTCTTCGGATTAGGAGTGTCTGCAAAGTAGGCAGCCTGTGTGACCAGCCACCTTCATTCTTTTTCTTCTAGAGCCTCCGTGGCCATCCGCAGGTTGAACCTAGGGCTGGCATATTTTGAAAAGGCAATTGGCAATGTCATTGCTGCTAAGGGTGAAAAGACGATCGATCTGATCAGTCTCTATGAGGAAACTGCTCAGATCGAGCAGCTGAGGAGGAACCACAAGCAGGCCATCCAGTACTTACAGCAGGTTAGTGAGTTGGCTGGGGTCAGGCCAGTTCCCAGTTCCCAGGGCTTGGCCTGCTCAGAGGCCAAGGGGATACGCCTGACTATGTGAAGCCCAACTGTCCTCCAGATCTACACAAGAGCCTTTCCCCAGGCTCCAATGACCTGGGCGGAGAACAGGGGCTCAGGGTGGGTGCCTGGGCTGCCTGACAGGTCTCCTGCCAGCATCTCCCCTGCCCCTGCCTCCTCCCATATCTGTCAGCACTCAGGAGAGGAAGTCAAGTGTGAGTCCGCCCCAAGGAAAAAGCCACTAGGAGCAACTCATCTTAAGTTTTCAGCAAACACAAAGGGCTTTTTGAACTAAACATGGTCTTTGGTTATAATGCTGTCATTTGTCCTTTTAGCTAGTTGCCCTGGTTGTATTTCTAAGTGGAAGGTTAAAAGAACAAAAGGACGTAAACGTGGAGGGAGTTGATAAGTACCCAGAGGAAAACAAAACATAGGAAGGACTGTTGAGGCTATCATGTGAAAAAAAGATTCGGACATGTCTATCATGTGAGTCCTGGTATGGTGCTGTAGGAAAAGCTCAAGGTTTTCAGTCCACTTTACCAGCAGCTCCTTAGAAACACTATTCAGGATCTCCATGAGTCGGAACCAACTCGACAACACTTAACAACAACCACAATGTTTCTTGTACTTAAAACTGCCCCTCAACTGCTAAACTCAACATTTCTTTCTTCCAAATGAGAACTTTAAGTGTCTTCCACAGCTAACAAAGCATGAAAACACTAGTTTGGAGGGGACCAAAGAAAAGGTGTAATGCAATCCAACAGCATACACAAAAACAGTGTGAACTCAGAGACAATCTCACAATTCATGGTGGTTACCATCAGGCTTAGGAGAAATGTTAGGCACTGTCCCTCCCAAGATGGTGATCCACTGCTTACTGTGACGTAAACACTTCATGATTAGCTATATGTTGGCTCTTATACAATTGGCAATTCTATTAGAGCCACTAGAAAACCCACAGTGAAACAGTGTCATCTGGGTACTGAGTTTGGACTGATTTTCTTTATTCCAGGCCTACTCTATCTGCGTGTCTACGTTCACCGAAGTCAGCCCCAGAACTGCAGAGGCGAGTGCATTACTAGCTAAAGCATATGCCATGTCTAGAGACGTCCAACACAGGGGTAGGTAGCAGAGGGGGCCCTGTATTGATCAACATTTCCATCATTTCTCTCCAGTCACAGGAAGAAAGCAAGCTGGCTTCTGTACTCACAGACAGGTTATCGTTTGCTATGCATGTTGTAATGGAGACATCACCTTAAACATGGTTTGCACCAAATTTAGATTTGGTAATATCCTCCATCATTAGTTTGAAACTGTACACAGAGTTGTAATGAATTAGAAACCAACTAGACAGCACCTAAAACAATATTCATGAAAAACAAACAACAACTAAAATAGCAAAATAACTTCTGCAAACTGAAATCATGTTCATTTAATGACGTGAGGACATACAAGAGTGGAATATGATCATCTGATTTCATTTCCGTTATTCCCATGGAATTGCAACCTGCATAAAGTGTAGAGACCATCCACACTGTGAAGATGGTCTATGATGTGTGGGCTGGTGAGGAAATCCAATGATAAAGGAGAGAAGAAACACTGACTGGTCCTCTCCTTGTCCTCCTCCACGCTTAGCCCATTTATATGTTGACTCTTTTCCTCTGGCTCACAGGAGAGAATATGTAGCAGCTGGAATGTTTCTTGACTTGTACTCAAAAGTGAGGTGGTGGGGCTTCTAGAAGAAAGCCACGTGATTCGTTTATCTTTCCACAGTGGTATTTTGTCTTGTTAGGTCATCCATTTGGAAAATGGTGTCTTAGGAAGAGACAAACGGACCAGTGAGAAAGGACAATGCCCGACATTCAGCTGGTCTGATCAGATTGTGGGCACTGAGGACACATTAGCTAGTCAGAAGGAACTTGGGATTTATGGAGAATGCAATTTTTTGACATTTTTTAGTTTATTTTCTCTGCTTATAAAAGTCATCCATTTTGGTGTATGTTATTCCCTACACATATGTGAGGGGACTTCAGAAACTTCGGTAAAAATTTCATTATCTTTTTATTCTATGTTTCCATGAACTTTTTGAAGCCCCTTATATGTGTGTGTTTATGTGTTCTATAGAATTTACAATCTACTTTTTCCACTCTTGTATGTCCTCACATCACTAAATAAACATGACTTCAATTTGCAGAAGTTATTTTGCTATTTTAGTTGTTGTTTATTTTTCCATGAATATTGTTTTAGGTGCTGTGTAGTTGGTTTCTAATTCATCACAACTCTGGGTATAACAGAACAAAACACTTCCCGGTTCTGTACCATCCTCACAATCTGGATGACATGTCAAAAGTATGAGAGATGATGTCTCACCAGTCTCACTTCTGTGAAGCATTCGGGCTGCTCTTCTTTCCAGACATATGTGTTTGTCTTTCTGGAAGTCCATGGTATATTCAGTATTCTTCACCAACACCGTCATTCAAATACATCAACGGCTCTTCAGTCTTTCTTACTCATTGTCCAACTTTCGTATGTAGATGAGGTCATTGAAAATACTATGGCTTGAGTCAGGTGCACCTTAGTCTTCAAAGTGACATCTTTGCTTTTGAACACTTTAAAGGGGTCTTGTGCAGCAGAGTTTCTCATTTCAATATGTTGTTTGATCTTCTGACCGGTGCTTCCATGGTATTGATTATGGATGCAAGTAAAAGAAAATTCTTAAAAACTTCAGTCATGTCATGAACAGACATGCATCCTGTGGCATAAATGTTCATTGGAAATCTCCTGATTTCTAAGTAAATACTATTTTCCTTATAAATTTTTTATGTTTATACACAATACATATACTACATATTGTATATGTATATATTTTAGTTTGCACTTTCAATGGTCTTCATAATTCTAAAAATCTTTGTGAATATATAAAAGTTGTTTTGTTTTTTTTAGTGAAAACATATTTATGCCTATAAAGTTGGAAAGTTCCAATGCCACTTTATTCTTGTATAATATGCTAATTTTTTAATTTAAAGAAAATCTGAATTTTCATCTCCTAGATCTTCAAATCAGGTGCCCTGAGTTGAAATGAAATTAAAACATTTAATTTTGCATTCAGGGCACCTGATTTTCGATTTCCAGCACTGTATCTGACAATGTTCTACTGCTATTCATAAAGTTGTCAGGAGCTAAACATCCAGAAGTAGGCTGCCTCTCCTTCCTAGTCTGTCTTACACCAGATGGAATACACAGAAATCAAATTGACTACATCTGTGGAAAGAGATGGGGGGAAAACTCCATATCATCAGCCAAAACAAGGTCACAGGCAAACTGGAACAGACCATCAATTTTTCATATGCAAGTTCAGGCTCAAGCTGAAAAATTTAAAGCAAATCCCTAAGAGCCACAATATGACCTTGAATATATCCCACCTGAAATTAGAGATCATCAGAAGAACAGAATTGATGTATTAGACACTAAAGACTGAAGACCAGAAGAGTTATGTGTTGACATCAAGAACATCATACAGGAAGAAAACAAAAGATCATTAAGACAAGAAAGAAGGAAAACAACAAAATGGACTCTGAAACTTGCTCTCCAACATAGAGATGCTAAAGCAAATGGAAGACATGAGGAGATACAAGAACTGAACAGAAAATTTCAAAGGTCAGCTCGAGAAGACAAAGTCAATATTAAAATGAAATGTGCAAAGACCTGGTGTTAGAAAACCAAAAGGGAAGAACATGTTCAGTGTTTTTCAAGCTGAGGGATCTGAAAAAAAAAAAAAATTCAAGCCTCAACTTGCAGTATTGAATGATTCTATGGGCAAAATATTAAACGATGCAGAAAGCATCAAGAGATGATGAAAGGAATACAGAGTCACTGTATCAAAAAGAAATGGTCAGTGTTCAACCATTCAAGAGATAGCATATGATCAAGAGCCAATGATCCTGGAGGAAGAAGTCCAAGGTGCATGGAAGGCATTGGCAAAGAACAAGGCATTGGGAATAGATGGAATGCAAATTGAAATCTTTCAACAAACTGATGTGGCACTGAAGGCATTCACTCATCTATGCTAAGAAACTTGGAAGACAACTATCTGCCATACCCATTACAAAGAGAGGTGGCCCAATGGAACGTGGAAATCATTGGACAATATCATTGATATTCCATAGGAGTAAAGTTTTACTAAAGATAATACAAAAAAGTCTGCAACCATACATTGACAGAGAATTTCCAGAGGTTCAAGCCAGATTCAGAAGAGGACATGGAACAAGGTATATCATTGCTGATGTCAGATGGATCTTGGCTAAAAGTAGAGAAAATCAGGAAGATATTTACCTGTGCTTTATTGACTATGCAAAAGGCTTTCAAATTTATGGAACAACATGGTGGAGAATGAGTACTCCAGATCATTTAATTGTGCTCACGAGGAGCCTGAAATAAACCAACAAGCAGTTGTTCAAACAGAACAAGGGAGCACCAAATGGTTTAAAATCAGAAAAGGTGTGTACCAGGGTTATATTCTTTCACCATACTTCTTCAATCTGTATGCTGAGCAAATAATCCAAGAAACTGGATTATATGAAGAAAAACATGGCATCAGGAGTGGAGGAAGACTCATTGACAACTTGTGATATGCAAAGGATACAACCTTGCTTGCTGAAAGTGAAAAGGATTTAAAGTACTTATTGATGAGGATCAAAGACCATAGTCTTTGGTATGGGTTGCATCTCAATGTAAAGAAAACAAAAATCCTCACCACTGGACCAATTAACAACATCCATATATATGGAGAAAAGATTAAAGTTGTCAAAGACTTCAT